TCCTCCCTCTCCTTTGTTCCTCTCCTCTCCCTGCAAGCTCACCCCAAGCACCCCAATCCTCACCCTTTCCTTCTGCCCAGGAGCCTGGCGCTCGCTCGGTCTCATTCATCGCGGGTGGCCCCAGCCCCGCTCTCTGGCCACAGGCCCAGGGCCCACCGGTTTGCTTTTCTAAACAAAGGCCGTTCCCCCTGCAGAACAGCTCTGTTCACCTAGGGGTGCTGCTCCGACAGGAACCGCTTCTGCAGGGGGGACAGGAAAATGCATCTGGCCAGGCTTTACCAGCAGCTCCCCAACTTTTTTTGTTTCAGTATGCCTTTCCCCTGAAAAATGAAAGCCTTTGTTGGAGCGGGTTACAGCTATGGAGATTCGCTCCTAAAATGAAAGCCGGGGCGTTTTTTTACATTTGTATTTATCAATTCGTTTAAAATAAGCCCATTACATGTTAACATAAGTAGTACATTTTTATGGAAAAATAGCTCTGCTTTCCAAACCCAACAAAGGGGTGAGGATGCCGCTGCTGCATGGTTGCTGCTCGCTCTGGGCTGCGTTCCCAGGAGACGCTGGGGCCTATCTGCTTCCCCCTCGGGCTGCTGTGATGTCAGACATCAGGCGCCCCGGACAACTCCCCTGCGTGCTCCTGAGAGAATCGGGGAGGAAAGAGCCAGCAGCGCCTTCATCTATCACAAAACATGTCTTTTGTCCTCGCGGGACCTCTTGCAGTGGTCGGCAAACTCATTAGTCAACAGAGCCAAATAGCAACAGTACAACGATTGAAATTTCTTTTGAGAGCCAAATTTTTTAAACTTAAACTAGATAGGTAGGTACATTGTTAGTAACTTAATTAGGGTACTCCTAAGGCTTAGGAAGAGCCACACTCAAGGGGCCAAAGGGCCGCATGTGGCTCGAGATCTGTAGTTTGCCGACCACTGTCTTAGGGGAACTCCAGAGATCTCCTTTGAGAACCACAATCTTAAAACATGAAGACAGCCGGCCGGCCGGTGTGGCTCAGTTGGCAGAGCGTTGTCAGGTGCACCAAGTGGTTGCAGGTTCGATTCCCGGTCAGGACACATTCCCGGGTTGCGGGCTCCATCCCCAGTGAGGGGCGTGCAGGAGGCAGCCGATTGGTCATTCTCTCTCATCATGGATGTTTCTCACTCCCTCTCCCTTCCTCTCTCTCTCTCAAATCAATAAAAACATATTTCGAGGAACATGGAGACAGGCATCGTTCTATACTAATAAAAGGGTAATATGCTAGAGGTGGTTAGGGGCGATCAGGTCTGCAGGGGAGAGTGGTTAGGGGCGATCAGGTCTGCAGGGGAGAGTGGTTACGGGCGATCAGTTGGGCGCAGGGCTGGCTCAGCAGGTAAGTCAGGGAAGAGCCTGGTGATGTCCCACATCCCATTCCGCCACCAAGGCCTGCAGGCTCCCTGTGCCCAGGCTCCTGGCGAGGAGGCAGCCGCTGCGTGTGCACGGAAGGGCGGGAAGCAGGGGCTGCATAGGGAGCTGAGCAGCATTGAAAGGAAATGGAATATGGGAACGTTTCATCAGTTACAGAATTAAATGCAAACGGGCTGACCTCTCCTATAAAAAGCAGGCAGCTCACGGGCTGTTAAAAGGACACAATCTAGCGCTCTGTTGCTACAGAGACATGCAAACCAGAGAAAACCCGCAGAGGCAGAGTGGCGGGGTCAGAGGGCGTTCCTTGGGAAGAGGAAAAGCCGGGATTAGTATGTGGAAGCAGATGAAGCAGATGCCACAGCAAAAGGCAGTACAAGCAATAAACAAGGCCGTTACATAATGGCCAAATGTGCATTCCATCGTGAACATACAAACAGTGAATGTTTGTGTTATAAACGCCATTGCAACCAAGGCCAGAAAAGAACATGGAATCGACCAATGAGCGTGTGTGCATATATGCCTCACCCATGGACACAGACAATGGGGTGGTGAGAGCCTGGGGGGGGGGGGGAGAGAACGGGCTGGGAGAGGTTAATGGGAGAAAAGGAGGACCTATGTAATACTTTCAACAATAAAAAAAATTTTAAAAAGAAAGATTAGGAAAACAAAATGCAACCTCATTGTAACAAACAAACAAAGAAAATGGACAAAAAAGCAAGAAGAAATAGAAACAAATATTTTAATTGGAACACTCAACATTCCATTTGGGGGAAGAAAAGAGAAAAATGAATTGGGAAATACTCTATGATTGAATAACTCATTCAATCAAAATTGAGGGTCAGGTGAGGCTCCCGGGGTTCCACGCTGGAAGACAATTCCATAAGCAGGGATGAGTTTGACAGACATGTGGAATAGCTAACAATGGGGCAACTTAAGATAGACTCTTTCCAAGTACATATAGATCATGCCATCTGCAAACAGCATACAAAACACTGGTCCTAGCCCGGCTGGTGTGACTCAGTGGTTGAGCATCGACCTATGAACCAGGAGGTCAGGGTTCGATTCCGGTCAAGGGCACAGGCCCGGGTTGCAAGCTTGATTCCCAGGAGGGGGCCTTGCAGGAGGCAGCCGATCGATGTTTCTCTCTCATCATCAATGTTCTATCGCTCTCTCTCTCCCTGTCCCTTCCTCTCCGAAATCAATCAATAAATATATGTTTTTAAAAAATTTTTAAAAACCACTGATCCCATATTGGATCACAAAGACTCATTCTCTCCTTGATTTAGCACACGTTAGCTCATTTGTTCCAATGAGCTTTGGTATTCACAGAGGCAGAAATGCTAGCCACCAAATGGTCAAACCACAGGCATGACAATGGAAAACAAAAACAAATGACCAATAACAGAAGAATGTTTTGAAACATTTCAATGCTCTCTGGTTGCGCTCGGGTTACACAGGAAGGCCAGAACATATGCAGAGGACAGCTGCTGCTGCGGCCTGGCCCTGCTGCTTCTGTTACCAGGCGGGCAACAGAAGTCATCTCTTTCTTTGGGGAACTGTCCCTCCCCGATTCTGGTGAGACGCCCAGGCCCTGGGTCTGGAATAAGATGACTCACGTGGCCCGAGTAACTCATCCTCCTGAAGGCGCTGATGGTGCTAGAACGGGCCTGTGACCCTAACCGGCCAATCAGAGCCTTTTTAAAAAAATATATTTTATTGATTTTTTACAGAGAGGAAGGGAGAGGGATAGAGAGTTAGAAACATCGATGGACAGAACCTAGCGAGAGAACCTGGCTGAAGAACCTAGAGTCAGAACCTAGGGACAGGACCAAGATGGCGGCATAGGTAAACACCGCAGACTGCTGCCGCAAACAACCACTTCAAAAATACAACTAAAAGA